AAACTTGCTTAGCCCTTACAATTCTAATGTACATAGTAAGTCCCTAAGAGGGAATTAGAGTGTAAAGTGTTTCCCAAACTTATCTTACTTGGAACCTTAAAAAATTTTTTTTTCTCATCTTGAGAAATCAGTATTTCTGGAAAAACACTTTGGAAAACACTGCTCTAGGGTGATAACAGTACATTAATCAATATTTTCTGGATAAGAGATTATCTTATTAGCTTTAAGTTCACGTAACTGCACTATTATCCAACCACTTAACCTTCTTCATACTGTCTAAATGATTATCAAGATATTGTCAAATGCAGCAATAATATATTTTACCAGTCTAACTTATCACAAAGTGAAACAGGACCAGGTAAAGAGGATTTAGTATTAAGATTAGTAAACCCTGGATGCTCAATTTACTGTGAGAATTATACTCAATAAGAAGCTATGAAAATGAGAGATATATGGTATTGTTAAAGTTTCCCATTAGACTGGCTACATTTAAAAACAAATTTTGGTGATTAGAAACTAATTTTTAGTTACCTGGATAACTCAGTTATAAGGGATACCTCATTTTCCATAATATTTAGTGAAATATTTCTACTTGTTAAGAATGAGTTATAAAAAATTATCACTAAATACTATGTATTATATAGAGTCTTATAAAATAAATTTTAAATGTCAAAGTTTTCATACATTGTCAAGGGAATTTTACATATTCATCTGAAATCCATTTGCAAGACTATGTTTAACAAATACAGTTTCACAGATAAGCAAACAGACACATATAAGTATATCAAAGTCATTCATCATTTAGTGACTTAATTTCAGAACTGGGGGTAGGAGGATGGTAGGCTTTACTTGTAAAAAGTTTACACACACTCATCATGTTCAAATAGCACATAGAAAATTGACTGAGGCAGTACACTCACATAACACAGTACCAGTACTGCCAATCCTTCACATTGTCTTTTGGGGCAGTAAGCCTTAAGATATTGTTGAGATAACTGGCTTCCATTAGCAAGCATGTGATTGGCAGGATGATAAAGTCTTTTCACTCACAGGTCAGCTATTTCCTTTTCTTTAGAAGAGGGCAATTTTGATGATCCATCTTTTAGCTACAGTCTCTCATTGAATCCCAATTCTCTTGCCTTCAGCTTTGATATGGTTCTAACTTTCCTCTTGTATCAGCTCATACTTGTCATCAACTCCTCTATTCAGAACAGCAAATATCAGGAGTTTGACCTCAGGGCAAAGTCCGGGTGGGCAGGTAAAATTTGACCACTGGACCTACTTCCTAATCTTTCATACCCAGCAATTCGTGAAGCAGTATCAAATTCAAACTAAAAAACAGAAGCATGACCCCTTATAAGTACTATGAAAAGGGCTCTTTTGCCTTTCTAAGTATACTTGAAAAGAACTGTCAGCCACCCTATTAAGACAGAAATGGATCACAGACTAGAAAAAAAGAAGGAGAAGTGTAGAAACTCAACTGAAATGTAAATAAAAGTGTTAACACCCTCTTTATGTTTGGTGATAAACTACTTTATATAAAAGTGTTAAAACAATATGCTATGAAATATCATTATAAAGTTAGGAACATAACACCATTGAAACTTTAAGGCATCCTTATTTAAATAATCACTGACATCTGATACAAAAAGCTTGTATCACTTCATATGAGACTTTAGTTTTCAAGACTAATTTTATTTTTGGTCATTCCCCATACTTGGCCTTTCACCACTTAACTGTTTATAAAATAATTTGAAAAACAAATATAGGTGAAACATTACTATCCTTTATCAAGTTATTAAATCCAGACCTCTGAAATCATGAAATTCAAGTTATGTGACAGTGGTCTAGCAGCTAAAGATAAGAATTAACTGCAACTTTTGTTTTAGAATACAAAAGATTAAGAATAGAGTACGGTTACACTTTAACATTCATAGTCAGAGAAAATGATCTTAAGCCCCTCTTAAAACTAAAAAAATTAACACAAAAAATTAGGTCATCAAAATTGTCTAGCCACTACTCACTTTCAATGTATATTAACTACCATACTTTATCATTATGTTTTATATAAAATAGCTACATAAATCTTTTTTATATTTTACTTTTTGGAAGGGGGAATGGAGGGAGAAAGAGAGGGAGAGAACCATCAATGTGTGGTTGCCTCTCTCATGCCCCCTTCTGGGGACCTGGCCTGCAACCCAGGCAATGTGCCCTAGACTGGGAATTGAACCGGTGACCTGTGGGTTCGCAAGCCAGCACTCAATCCACTGAGCCACACCAGCCAGGGCCATTTCTATACAGATCTTTTAACAGTTCTACATGTGTTATGATAGATTTCAGAATTCTAAATATTTCATAATAGATTTTTTTATTCACTTAAAAGTCTCTTAAAGAAATTACATTGATGAGGAAAAGTCAACCAGGACTTAATGCCTCTAAGTGCACACACTTGAAAAGTAAATTCAACCAAAAAGACTTGAGATGTTTATTAATATTTATAAGTGTGGCTTAATAACAATTCCCTAGTGAGCTATATGCATGTAAAGAGGCCTTAACTGTCAAATGATGACAGTCTTTGAAGGAAGAAAGTACTTGGGATCAGAGTTTTAATCTGCATTAAACCAACCACTTATCTGGACAAATCAAGGAAACAGAATCCTCATCAACAGTTTCATAAATTATGTGGTGTTATTCATAATCCTACAGTGAGATTACAGAGTAGTTAACACCATACAAAGTCATACAAAACTGAGAAAATATCACATATAAATTTATTGTCAAATTTTCTTTTTTTTAAATACATTTTTTAAAAAGATTTTATTTTTATTTTTAGAGAGGGGAAGAGAGGGAGGAGGAGGAGAGAGAGAAATATCAATGAGTAGTTGCCTCTCGACGGCCCCCCACTGGGCACCTGGCCTGAAACCCAGGCGTGTGCCCTGACTGGGAATGGAACCGACGACCCTTTGGTTCGCAGGCCGGCACTCAATCCACTGGGCCACACCAGCCAGGGCTAAATGTCAAATTTCTGTGAACGCATTATTTGTATGTAATGGGAGCGATTTTCAAGTCACATATTCTTTGGATTAGAGAACACTTCATATTATTGCAATAGGGAAACTTACCCCAGTAAGTGGCCATAACCTCACTGGGAAGTGAATATACAATGAAACCTATTTCCAACTTGCAAAAGGACTCAGTTTTCTATATTAGATCATCTTGTTCAGGGTAATAAGACTGTAAGAGAGAGAATACCTTCTAAAGGAAATGGATCTACCTTCAATAGAAATAACATTCTGGTAAACTGGAGTGGAAATTCAGAGTCTATCTTTTTCATTTTCTACTATCTTCCCCCATTTAGTGAGGCGAATCATCCAGAGATCTGGGCCATTCATAAGTGTTCCTTGTTTGGCATCACAGGTGCATGAACACTGCTTGCCAACAAAAATAAATATGAATAAATTTTTTAAGTTCAGTGTTTTACAAACACAATTGAGAGACAGGAATGGCTTTTTCAGTTTCCTTCTAAATCAGACTTGAGGCTATATACCATTTATTTCTATATGACTCACTGTCTCATAAATATTCCTAACCAGCCCTGGCTGGTGTGGCTCAGCAGGTTGAGCACCAGACTGAGAACCAAAGGGTTGCTGGTTCTATTCCCAGTCAGGGCACATGCCTGGGTTGTAGGCCAGGTCCCTGGTTGGTGGCTTGTGCAAGGCAACCAGTCGATGTTTCTCTCCCTCTTGCCCCCTTCCCATCTCTCTAAAAATAAATAAATAAAACCTTAAAATAAATAAATAAATAAATAAAAATATTCCTGACCAAATCGTGGGTGTTTTGCTTGTCTAAAGGATTTTAAAGCTCTATAAGGATGAAACTATTTCTTATATTACCTTTCTGTCTATTCCAACCACACCTCCCCTCTCTAAATAATCAGAACATGGTAGCTCATAAATATCTGCTGAACACTAGTTTGGAATTAGAGCAAAAAGAGCTCTACTCTCAAACATTCCCTCAGTTCAGAGCTCCTTAACTGCTCAAATGGGCCCTCCTCTAAACATCACTGTGGTGAAGTCTATTCATACCAGTGGTGGAGCCTCATCTCCAGTCATCTCTACTCCCCAGAGGAGATGGGACCATAAGTAGACCACAGTGTCTTTGTTTTAATTCCATCTCCACTTGGTTCTTCTTGCCAAGGGCGGCAGTCACTCCTGTTGTCAACTCTAGCACTCCTGAGCCCTCTCACTTGGACCCACCCCTCCTCCACACTCTTGTGCCTCCCAGCTTTATTAAGCTCCTTAATCCTAGGATTAAGAAAGAGAAAGAAAAAGGTGGAGGGGAAAGAAAGAAGAAAGGAATAAGAAGAAAAACTATGGAGGAGATGGAAAAAAAGGTAACAGGAGGAAAATAAAGAAAATGACAATAGGGTAGAGGTGTTAAAGAGTAGTAAAATGAATAGGAGAGATTTAAAAATTATCATATTTGTTACCACACTATGAATTATGCCCTAGAAAAGAATTATATAAATGTATAATTACCTTTTTAGTTTTATCCTTTCTGAAGGCATATAGAAAATTTATGAAAATAGCATTCTTTACCACTGACAAAATTTTAAGCAAGAGGCTCCTTTGTAGTTTGTAACAATTTACATTTATGTAACTTGGGTTCTGACACTAATGTTCTACACCACCAATTTTCATACATGACCATGAAATCATTAAGAAATAACTTAAAATTCAAATGTCATTAAATCAAAGTAGAAAGTCATTATTTAGTCATGTGCCTAGCAGATAATAATTACATTAAATATTCACCAATGAGAATGCTCCTTGAAGCAGAGGCACTGAATGAATTTTCAGAAAGAAAGGCTAAATATGTAGTTATCAAAGAGGCACTTTTCTCAAGACAGGTTGTTTCAAGGCAAACAAGCATTCCTGTAGCATTTTTTAAAAGGCAAGGGGTAGAAGGCAATAAATGCGAAGTACATTATTACATCTTACTTGTCTGAGGTCAATGAATGCTAGCTGCAGGGTCTCTCCTTGGAATCCTGGCACAGGTTCAGAGCTGGCAAACACTGTTAAAAAAAAAGAAGAAGAAGGAAAACAAGATTACAAAATATACAAGGGTCTAACCACTAAATTAATTTCTACTCATTACAAATGTATTATAATATTTACACGTAACCATTTCAAATGAAGACTATTTATAACCCTCAATTTCCACTACTAAGAACGTTCTCCACACCCATTACCACAAATATTTTAATAATTTTAAACTTCTAATCTGCCATTTAATCACTATAATCCTTAATTACAATAAATTTAGAATGGTTATCCTACACGAAGTTCAAGGTAGTAATATACTTCAATCAAGAGAAGTTTTCTGACTCTTTTTAGCCTTAGGTGAACGATTATAGAAGCATTTTGAAACTACACCAATTCCATGGCTGTCAGCATATCTCAAAACGTCTGCTTTGTTACAGAATATGCTCTATAAAAATCCTACCTCTAACTAACAGCAGTAACAGGCAGACACGTAAGAAGTCAGCTTTATAGGCAGACAACAGGTAAAATGTTCTAAGTAGCAAAATGGGATGATGTAGGAATGTTTGTTCGGATCTGTTAATAATTCTTCCATAAAAGAACCATACTTTTTTTAAAATTAAAAGATATATCAACAAAAGATTAAAAACATATTTCAAAAGATTTTTTCAACATTTTTTGTACCTAAAACATTGTAATACATAGCTTGTTTAGTTAACATGAAGACAAACCCAATGCTAATGCTTTTGAAGACAAAAGACTTGGCTCATAAAAAAGAGCCCATTATTTTACACTAACCTGCTCTGATAAGAACAGGAATGCCTGCGATCATTCTTCCTCCCCATCAATATCTGGGTTTTCTTAGAGAACATTACAGATTTTCCACTTGTGAACTGATCTGAGCCAATGTTTTAGAAACTATTTCAATTTTCAGCAATTTCATTCTTGGAATAATAAAAGTACTTCTTAAGTTTAGTGTATTCTATATAAAATACAGTTTAGAAAGGCTCAAAATCAACAATTAAAAATAAAAAGTATATAAAGCCTAGCACAGCTTAACTGGTCTGGCATTTATAAGGTATGAAGAATTCAGAATGTTTTTGTTGCTGTTATTTTTAAGATGATAAGTTTTACTCTCAGCATCAAAACTCTTTTTTTTATCTTAAGCATTTTTGATTAAATTTTAAAGTATAATATAATACTTCCCCCCTTTTTGGATTATACTAAATGATATTTGAACTTTTCTTAATTATCTGGATCACCATTAAAACCATTCTTACATGCACAAATATCAAATCACTCTATTGTGTACTTGAAATTAATATAATGAATGTAAAGGATACCTCAATTTTTTTAAAAGAAAACCTACAGAAAGTCAAAAAAAGAAAAAAATCTACTTTTTAATTCTTAGAATACATTTCCAGGACTGCTATGGTATTAAGAACTATTTTCTATTATTATTACATTAAATAGCTCAGAATGCTGCAATGTGTGAATTGTGTCTGGCTTAATTTTTTTTCTAACTCTTCTGCAGTTTTAACATAAATTCTTTCTCCTTGTTCTCTCACTCACCTCTTACTAGCATGCTATCTTTAATATTCTTGAGCTGCTAAGTGTCTAAAGAACAAGCAAATAAGCCTGAGCAAGAGCCCCTCCCACAAGCAGTGTGAATGGGTTTTACATATGCCTTTGAGTATATATATAGAGTGTACCTTTTCAGTGTGAATGACCTTTTGATTACTCAGAGGCAGACCACTTCCCCCACACCCCTCCTTCTTGGTTCTCTGCTAGGTTGTAGTTATGCCCATTAGGTAGGTGACTACTCACCTTTCTCAGGCCCTCTATTTCCAGAAAACTAAGATTTATTGAGCAAATCTAGACAAACTTTTCATTATTTAGTATAATTTATTCACATCACTGTTTTTTCATACAATGAAAAATGGCACAATCTCACAGTGTGGCAACCCCACTATCCCCTAACGTGTCCCAGATAACTGAGTTGCCTTTCTCTAGTACTATCAGATCTTAATGAAAAAAATAAGCAACATTATAATAGCCTATTAAAAGGAAAGGTGTCTTTTAATTTTTAAAAACCCTTTCTTAGGACCAGTCAGCACATTGTTGGCTTTTTTGGCCACCCTCCTAGGCTACTGTTTGCAAGTAAGAGTTAACCATGAATTTAGAACTTGGTTAGACCTGGTTTCTAACCAAGGCTGTAAATGTTAGCTTTGCTTCTACCATCACCACATATACATACACATGCATACAAAACTAAGGGCTTTTTATAACCCAAGGAGGCTTACTTTATATATGAGGCATAAAAATCAGCTCAATTTCAATTATATTTGCAATTACTAGCTACTTAATCTCCCAAAGTTTTTCTGCACTGAAAATAATGTGTCATTTTTCTTCTCCTTCAGTTCCTGTTTAAGATAGTATAGTTTAAGCCCCATTGCTTGGCATTACACCAAAGAGCTTAGTGTCAAAATTATAAGTGCCATAAACTTATGTAGCACTTTAAATTTACAAAGTACTTTCTCACACACTATCTGCTTTGATCATCACAATAATTTATTTTAGTGAACAGGGCATAAATTCTTGCAGCTAGAAGAGATATCCTCTTTGAAATACCTCCATCAGTCCTTTGAAGGCTCAGTTTAAAAGTTACCCAGTTCTGCCTGGGCTAGTGTGGCTCAGTGGACTGAGCACCAGCTTGTGAATGAGAAAGTCGGCAGTTTGAATCCCAGTCAGGGCACAGGCCTGAGTTGCAGGCCAGGTCCCCAGTTGGGGGCATGTGAGAGGCAACTGACTGATATATCTCTAGCACATCAGATATCTTCCTCCCTTTCTTTCTCTGTTCCTTCCCCTCTCTCTAAAATAAATAAATAAATAAAATCTTAAAAAGTTATCCAGTTCTTCATTTTATAGCATAGAACAATAAATGTGAGGTGACTTGCCCAGGATCACATAGTTAATTCAGACCTCCTGGCTGACCCAGAATATGATTAAGTGTTCAGCCTCTCATCTTTTACCTCTCTCACAAAACCCTAACCAATATGGGAGTGAAACTCACTAGTTCATAGCTCTCAGGACTTTTTCTCAAAAAAAAAATTATTTTTTTTTAGAAACAGGAGGCAATTGAGCAGTCTGATAATCTGGCAAAGAGAACATTTGTAATTATATACAATTCAATTTATCAATGGCTTAATTTTTGTCCAATGCAGGCAACCAATTATGTTGTTTCTACCTTCAAAAATATCTTGAGTCTGAATCTGTCTCTACCATATTCAAACTATCATCATTTCTTCCTTGGATTACTAAAATACACTTCAGTCTTGTCCCCCTGTTTCTTGTGTGCCACCTCTCTGTCCACTTTTCCCAGTGTGCCTTATGGAAACATGTGGCCCTGGCTGGGGTATCTCAGTGCATTGAGCGTGGGCTGTGAACCAAAGTGTCACAGGTTTGATTCCCAGTCAGGGTACATGTCTGGGTTGCAGGCCATGACCCCCAGCAACTGCACATTGATGTTTCTCTCTCTCTCTCTCTCTCTCTCCCGTCCCTCTCTGAAAATAAATAAATAAAATTATTAAAAAAAAAAGAAAAGAAAATGTACATGTGATTTGTGTCGCTTCAGAGCTTAACATCTTTCAATGGTTCTCCATCGCTTTCACAACAAAGCAAGACAATTAAGATCCTTTATAACCCGGCCTTTGCGTATCTCCCGAGACTCATCTTTTACCACTTCCCTAGGGGCACCTTTTAATCTCTATACCAAACTACCTGCATCTCCTTACATATGTCACAGTCTCTTTCCACATTACCTTTGATACTTCTGCCTGGAACATCCTTCTGCTTCTTCTTTTCCATTGAATAACTCTTACTTATCCTTCCATTCAATCACTATATTCTATAGAAAACTTCTACTGCCCCGCAGAATGGGTTAGGTCCCTCCCCTGTGTTTACTGCAGCTTTCTGTGCACTGCCTAAATATACCACCCACTTTTTAAAAAAGATTTTATTTATTTATTTTTTAGACAGAGGTGGAGGGAAAAAGAAAGGGAGAGAAAGATCAATGTATGGTTGCCTCTCATATGCCCCCCAATCTGGGTGGGACCTGGCCCACAACCCAGGCATGTGCCCTGACTGGGAATTGAACCGGTGGCCGTGGGGTTTGCAGGCCAGTGCTCAATCCACTGAGCCACACCAGCCAGGGCCACAGTACCCGTTTTGACATCTTGTAATTGTTTATCTATCTGGGTCTTTGTACCAGACCATCAACTCTCCTAAGGTAAGGAATATATGAGGTTTGTCTAGAAAAAGTCCAGCCACTGTTAATATAATGTGAACAGTTTGTACAACATCAATGTAACTTGGCAGCCAAGGAGAGTGGACTGGAATGCACATGCATGAAGAATGACAACTTCACTGGATAGTCAGTGCGGGTGGTAGACACCATTGAGTGAGTATGTGTACTATGTGGCCATAGCATTCAAAATACCTAAGCAAGTAGAGCAATGAATCTGCATCAAATTTTGCATTAAGCTTGAACATTCCTCTGAGGAAATTATTTGGATGACTTAGAAGGCTTTTGGGGATGATGCAATGAGTGCAACGCAAATAAAAGTGTGGTACGAACGCTTCAAAGATGGTCGACAATCTGTTGAAAGTGACCGATGTTCTGGAAGGCCTGCAACAAGCAGAACACCTGAGAATGTTGAACGTGTACGGGCTGCAATCAACAAAGATCAGAGACTGACAGTGTGAGAATTAGAAGCTGATCTGGGGATTCCAAAAACTACTGTGTCCGAGATTTTGACGCAGGATCTTGGCAGGAAACATGTCATGGCAAAATTCACTCCACAGCTTCTACTGCCAGAGTAGAAGGAACACCATGCTGCAGTTGGTCTTCTGATAACAAATTTAAAAATCGTTTCCAGGCTTTCTAAAATTTTGGGCTTTTTGTTTGTTTCTTAAAAAGCTTATCTAAATTTTTGTGTTTTTTCTCTTAATGCCTCGAACTTGACAATTTCCT